CAAAGGGGTTTTTTCTTTTATTTTTTATAATTACTTTGGTATAAATGTCATCTTTTTTACTAAAGAGAGAATTGTTTTAATTTCATGTACTTTTGTTTTAACATTTATGCTTTTTTGTGCACAACATAATTATAAGATCCATATACTTAAAGGTAAATATTGAACCGAGAACTTTTATTCACGAAAGGAAGATTAAGTTAGTAGGTCAAGTATTCAGCTCTTTTGCATTCCATTGTAAATGAACCTACATTTGTGTGTGGATAATAGGGTAGTTTTGCACAAAATTCAAATTATTATTTACACTAATCAAAAATAAATTACAAGGATATAATTGTTGCTTGATGAACTTTTGGATGGTTGTTTCTTTAGCGAGGGATCAACGTCCCTTAGAGAGAAAAAGAGAGGGAGAGAGAGAGAGAAAGATTTAATGCTCTGAAATGGATGCTGAACTAAAATAAAACTAACCTTAATGTGCTCTGGCTTAGTTTCGAGGAGACTTGACTCAAATGCAGGCCAAATATAATTAAAGTGCGATTCTCCATTTTGCATAAAGTTGCACTTCGTTGGCCCCAATGAGGTGCGCGAATATTCTCTACAAAATTCACTTACAGAGGCTAAAATAACGCAGAAGTTAAATTGGCGCATCCATATTTACACGAAATTAAAATATTTAGATAAACGAAAATTAATTTGTTTAAAACATTTTAAATGGGAGATAAAAATTATGAAACAGTATTTATTTTGAATCAATTAGAAAATTCTTGAGTGTGAAAAATTGGAATGTCAATGTTGGCAAATAAGAATTTTTATTACCATTATAGAATATTAAAGAATTGTGAATTTAAAAATGAAAATTATCTCAATAAAATATTAAGATAATAAATTCACAAGTTCTCGAATATTTTCGAATCATTAAAGTTTATTTCAAATGCGCCAGGTTATTAAATACCAATTTTTTAAAACAATTCATTAATTATTGTTAGTAGATAAAAATGTTTTCAAGTGTAAAAACAAAAAAAAATTTTCGTTGCTCTTTTATTACCATTATAGAATATTAAAGAATTGTGAATTTAAAAATAAACTTATCTCAATAAAATATTAAGATAATAAATTCACAAGTTCTCGAATATTTTCGAATCATTAAAGTTTATTTCAAATGCGCCAGGTTATTAAATACCAATTTTTTAAAACAATTAATTAATTATTGTTAGTAGATAAAAATGTTTTCAAGTGTAAAAACAAAAAAAAATTTTCGTTGCTCTTTTACCATTCTAGAATGTTAAAGAATTGTGAATTTAAAAATAAAATTATCTCAATAAATATTATGATAAAAAATTGACAAGTTCTCGAATATTTTCGAATCATTGAAGTTTATTTCAAATGCGCCAGGTTATTAAATACCAATTTTTTATAACGGTTTATTCATTAATATTACTAGATAAAAATTTATTTAAGTGTAAAAACAAAACAATTTCTGTTACTTACAAAATGTCCAAAACGTACCCCAGCATGGTCCAACTAGAACTAAATAAAAAACGAATTATAATTGAAAACATACTAAAATATTATTGTCTAAAAAAAGAAATATTATTAAATAGTAAAATATGCAAGATTAGTGAGAGCATTTTCAATTTCTTTTTCATTTTTATGAATTCCACATCTTTACATTGAATAGTCCTCGAAAACCATCATTTCACAAAAGAGAACTTTATGAACCTTTCCACCCAAAACTCGTCATTTGCTACTGCCATTGAAAACTTTCCTAGCTATTCACGCAGGCACTCCTCTGGTTTCATCATCCTCGTATTAAAGCTGAATTCTATATATATATATATATATATATAAAGAGAGAAAGAACATGCGTCGATATATTTCAAAGTATTCATCTATATATACGTATATATAAATTCAACACCAAAAACACTCTCTTCATATACCATCGTTCTCTCCTTTTATATTTTATCCGTAAATAAAGGCGGATCTTTCCATAATCCTTTCGATTCTTGGCTTCGATCCCCTCAAGAACACTTGTAAAAACCCAAAACCCCTCTCACTTCCCTCCAATTCAAGTCTTTGCGTCTGACATTGAAATATATTGTCGTTCTTAACGCCTCGCATTATTTGAGTCGAGTAAAAGAGAGAAAGAGTCAGGTGGTCCTATTTATACCAAATGCGGAAGAAAGATGAGTAGCTGGAAACTGCTGTTTCATCTCTGACTTCGCCAACTTGGCAAGACCACGATTCTGTTTGCTTCCTAATTACGAAACTGCGAGAGGAAAAGGAGAGAGTGGGTGAGGGTGGTTTTAAAGAAGAAAGAGGAAAGACGGGCGTGGAAAACAAAAGGCAAAATTCAAGAAGTAAAGAGAAGAAAGAGAGACAAGGTAGGAGTAAAGGTAGAAGAAGAAGAAGAAGAAAATTTTGGAGTAAAAGTCGTGGAGGAACACTAAAAGGATAGGAAAACAGAGTGAGCCTCAGAAAATTAAGATTCCATTCTGAAGCCCGGTTGTGTGATTTGCAATTTTCTGGTTAACCTGACCCCCCATGCGCTGAAACCCCTTGCCAAGTATACAGTAAAGAGCAACGTCATTTCTCTCCCTAACTCTGACTAACAAAGTTAGAAAATCTCCTTTCCATATTAATTCCAAATTCTCGTTACCATTTTACAGTTTTTAAAAACCAATAATTTTGTCACTACAGTTTCACATTAGGTTATACTTCCATTATTTATAATAAGTCATAACAGAAGTTGCATACAAAAGATCGCATAACAAAAAAATGATTTTACAAATTTTTAAATTAATTTAGAGTATAATATTTAATAATTAACAACTTGGAAGTACATGGGACAGTTTAGATAAAGTTTTTACATAAATTTTTAACGTTGATACTTATATACCTTCACCTATTTTATTTTAATACTTTGACGTTGTACACGCTCAAACGTTTTAAAACGTAAAGCAACTCTTTGTGAATGACAAAAAAGAAATTATAAAAAACAGCTTTGTAAATGAGAAAATAAATTCAAAAACAATTTCACAATTTACAGGTCAGTAGAGTATTGCAAATTTTATATTGGACAACAAAAAAAGGGATAAATTAACTAATTTTTCGCTTCGAGAAAATTAACGATTTCAGATAATGAATTAATTTTACTAAAGGTTTATTATAAAATTAATATTAATAATCCAAGTAACACAGTTGTTGGAAAATACTTGATTGTCTTTTATACTATAAACAATATTATCTGCAATTTCTAGCTATAAAGAAATATTTCCAATCATCTTGGGTATTGTGATTAAAAATTTTACATTAGAGTTGAATTATATATCGACTTACCGGACTTTGTATTGCGCATCTACGAATTCTTCTCACGTCTCGAAAAAAAAGAATGTCATCTTGATGATACAATTTGTAGTTTCACGTTGCCATTAGCAAGTCGGTTACGTCGCGTCTCTCTTCTAATATCTTTGTGCGCAGGCGCTGCATCGTCTGCAACTATAAGGCGCGAAATTAATTTAAATTTGAATTTATATTCCCAACGATATTATAATAAAGCAAATTTAATTTGTAAGTATTTTTTTTTATAGTTAATAGTAACTATAACAAATAATCCGATATAAGCTTCTTACTCTTCCTATACCCAATTGCAAGCACGATCATATTATATTTAGACACTAATTGGATTTTGTATTAAAAATCGTTTTACATTGTAAATAAGCTTATTATTGTTAATATCATATTAATTAGCTTTGTTAGTTAGTTACTTATAATTTCTGTTTCAATTTGCCTTTCCAGCAAATAAAATGAGGTTGTGCTACTAATGGATTTTGTTCGCGTTTGATCAATTGTTGAACCTCTAAATAAGCTTTAACTGCTTAAATGAAATTAATATACTCTATTGTATTATTTAATTCAATCAATAATATTTTTTAATCAGAGTGAATATTTATAATAATTCAAAAAAAAAAAGATTAAATCGAAATAATTCTCCCTTGACTGATTGTTATTTCAAAGTTTTTCACATGAAAATCATATAAGTTATAGGAATATCGAATTCTCAACATATATACATAGACAAATCACAACAAATGATTATTTAGCATTGATGGAATTTTTGTGACGCGTTTCTGAATCCAGTTATAGATTGAGAGAAATGGTCGAGTTACTTTTTGATCGATGGTCACGTTTCATTTTTATACCCCCCCCACCCTTTCCCCTTCCTCATCCGCTTTGCTTTCTGACTGAATAGCGAACAATAAATTATTGTGAATGTCAGACTCGAGCACAAGCAATATCCATGATGAAACGTAGTGCTACTTTACTGACTTGGAAAAATATTTATAAAAGATGATCGCCATGTCACTTGATGGCTTTTCCTGTGCAAAAACGATTTATAAACAAGTTTTCTGTAAAGAAAATCTTTAAAGAAAAATGTTTTATATATTTTCATATATATATAAGCATTGAATTTTTTATATAATATAAAGGGAAAGAAATAAAATTTTTCATTCAATTATAGTTACAAAATAAAAAGTTGGAATTTGTATTCATCAACATTTCATTGCTGTGTGAAATATAGTCTAAAATATATATATATATAGCTACTCTCTCGGACTAAATTCGCGTTCTCGAATGAATGCAGGAAATTTGAGAAACTTCCAACCAGTAGTATGAATGTTCATTACATTTAGTGGTCCAAGTGGATATTTTAATTTGACTAATAGAAACATTTTAATAATTATTTATTTGAAATATGGTTTTATTGATGTTTCATAAATTTTATATTAGTGAGAAAATATAATTGAGAAAATTGTATTTAAATTATTAACAAGAGTGAAAGAGAAAAATAATTTTTGAATAAATATAACATTTTGGGGAAAATAATATTATGAGGTTTATAAATATTTTTGCTCTATATATATAACTGTTTTGTATTTACTTTGATGTATTTCCTTGAAAATGGGTATAAAAAATTAATCTTTGACCTTTAACATTTTCAGAGGCTTATGTGAATCTTGGAGCAGCTTTAGCTTCAGTTGGTCGTGGAACGGAAGCAGCTGCGGTTTTGCGCGCTGGCGCTTCTTTGGACGGATCCGGTCTAAAAGACAGAAGGGCTCACGAAGCTGCCAGAGTACAAGCATTGTTGCAACTTGGAGCCCTCTATGCGGATCAAGGGAGATTACAGAGAGCCTTATCTGCATACAGAGAAGCACTACATGCACTTCCGGATCATTATCCTCCTCAGGTGAGAAAAATAGACCGTATTTTACACTACAGTCATATACAACAAACTGTTGTCTTTTTTTAAAATTATTTTTATACATTTGCTATAATCAAATTTCTCCATATAAATATTTGTCATATTTTAATATATTAAGAATTAAATTTGAAAAATTTCCTATGTCAACAACTTTATTAACTATCAGATAAAATTCATTTTAATGATCATGGCATAAAAATAAAGACATATAAATATTTTATTAATATGAATTTGAATATTCTTTTCAAACCGCACATATATATATATTTGATGTGCCCTTGTTGGAATTATGATTATTAGAAAAGACATTGTTTTCCATTGGAATTACATGCGTAAGATACATTTTTCAGTTGAAATTTATAACCTAAGTTATATTCTTGAGCATTTCGAATTTTATTCCACGAATAATAGTTCGGGTTATTCGTTTCAAGATGATAATAAAGTTTGATTTTAATATCAGACACTCGTGGCATTTCTGGAGCAAAGCCATATCCCACAAGAGATAGCAGAGAAGAGGTGCTGGGGATTCTAAATTAATTTTATTCACACGAAGCGATATTACTATAAATTATTATGAAGAGAATGGCAAAATGACTCTCTAAATAAATGATTTCCTAACAATATATCAATTTTTACATTAAGAATTTATTATTCAAATTATTTCACACTTTGGAATAAAAATTACCATATATGTGGTTTTTTTTTTTAAAGAAAAGAAGAATTTGGAAAATTTGTTTTTAGTTTTAAAACAAGAAATGAAAATAAATAAGGAATTTTTTTTTCCTCAAAATACCAAATTATTTGAAAAGCTGGGTTGTCAGTTGTCTCCTTTGGAACCGAGTAGTCACTTGTCCTGTATATTACAAAATTATTACTTTTTGTATTTTGCAAGTATAAATATTCAAGTCATTGTTGCCATAGAAAGTTTTCCACAAAATTATAGAAAGTTGTCACATAAGGGCCATTTGGTCTTAGACACCGACCCGTGACAATGCTGTGCTTACAAGGATCCGAATCGACAAAAAAAGTGTATCGCGACAACTGGTCATAAGCATTGATCATTATGGGCAATATCTCCAAAGAATTCCTCTGTCAGAGAAAGTTGTTATTTGTCTTGTACAAAGTCATCACTTGTCTTTATGTATTTATATTAATAATAGAGCAAGAGTTGTCACTTGTCCTTCATATTTAGAGTTGTCACTTGTCTTTATGTATTCAGATAATGAATTTCCTAACAATATATCAATGTTATACTAAGAATTTATTATTTAAATTATTTTGCAGTTCAGTATAAAAATAACCGTGTGCAGTTTTTTTTTTTTTTTTTAAGAGGAATCAGAAAAATTATTTTCAGTTTTAAAACGAGAAATGAAAATAAATAGAGAAGATTTTTTTTCCAGATTAGTAACTTAAGCTTTAATGAAAGAAAAATTATTCTTGAGAAGGAGAAACAAATTAGAAATGGAATTAAAAGATTGAAAATTCTTTTTTATTTTTCTTGTATAGGGTTGTATATCATCTCTTTGAATGTGAAATGCTATAAAATTATCGTGTCTTGTTGCATTTAGTAATTTATTCAATTTGTCTGGTTCATTAAGAAACGCTGATGTTAAATCAACGTTGATGTCAAGCTTTCTTCAGCTGTTTCAATTTGGTCCTTGATGAAACATGAACTCTGTCATCGTAATTATTATATAAGAATTTAGGCAACTTTGTCCATTTTTTTTAAAAATACTAAAAAGATTTCTAATTAATTTAATTGAATTTTCAGGTAATGATCAAGTTTATCTTAAATGTAAATTTTTTTTTTCTTTATATTGAAAGTATTTTCGTCTTTTATATTAAACATCTCTACTTCGTTAATCATGATGTCAATCGATGACACAAATAAAGAAAATAGCAGTGGCTATGAATCATTAATGACTTATCGGTCTAGTTATTTCTAAATAATTCTTGAATGAAATCGTTTATGTTTTATCAACTTCAAATGCTTCTACTGTAAAGTTGTGAAAAAAGGCCACAAGATAATTTAAATCGATTTTCATTCGGGTCGATTTGTTTTCTATTTTTAAGCAGTTTTTTTTTTCTTGGTGTATAAAAGATTGGAAGATGGTCTTGAAGAGGCAAAATGTGGGTGGAGAGTTTTCATTCGTTTTTCTTTTGTTCCATTTTTCTTGAAACAAGTTTGCGACAAGCGCCCAACTACAACGCGTACATAACTGCTGTATAAGGTTTCGAGAGAACGCGTTCCTATAGAAGGGAAAAGTTTGCATTTTTACGAGGTTTTCCCTCTTCTAGTCGTCGTGTGCCTCTCTCGTTTTCCTTCGCGTCCGCCGTCTCCCTCGAATTCCTGCGTGACAATTTATACGAAAAGTGTTTTTTTTTTATTCTTTTTTCATTCCCTTGATCAATTTTACTCCAACTTCGGTTTCTGTAATTTTTTTCTAGATTCTCTTTTTTTTAAAACCACAACTTCCTTAAATATTTTAGTCATTTATATCTTTTTTTTTAAACTATTAATATGAAATTTTTATTTTCAAGAGGTTTAATCCTCGTGAAATTTCTTTTTGCAGTTATTTTATATTTCTCTTCTTTATTATTTTTTTTTTTCCAAGGCACTATTTTTATTCTTCCATTTTAAAGCTTTATATTCACAAAACTGTATTATGCAAGTCTCCACACATAAAAACTAATACAAATTTTACGAACCCACTAGAAATTCCATTAAATTTAAATTTTCTGAACGATTTCAAGTGTGATGGATTTCTCTGTAGTAAAAGTGCATCGTATACGAAAATACAACCGAGCTGTGGAGACATCAAAGGCTATAAGAAGTAAAATCTAAATTTTACTGAGGAAGCAGAAAACGTTATATCGTTTCCTGAATTCTTCTTTGAGTGCACTTGAAGATTGAAATATTGTGGAGAGGGAAACGAGAAATTGCTGAGAGAGAAAGGGTACACAAAAATTTAATTCCTATTTTATAGGATATCTTTCTTAATCCCTTCCATTCTACCCTCTCATTTCTTTCTTTTCTTCTTCTCTTTGCAACATTCCAATTCATTGTAAAGGAAGAAACCTTATTTTCATTTTGAAAAAATTGGTTTCATACTTTTGTTTTAGAAAAATATACTTTAAGTAAAATTAGCGGAGAATATGTAAATAATAATCATTTTAAGAATGATAAAGTTAAGAAAAATAGTTAAAGACTTTTTATATTAAAAATGAAAAAGAAATTTAATTATTTATTTTATAATTTAGTTATAAAATACTCTGTATAAGTATTTTCTTTGAACAGCTTTTTGATTACGTATTCAATTAACGAAGATAACATTTCTTCATTAACATCAACAGCGAAACAAATTCTTGATTTAATTCTCATCTTAGTTTGCAGTCGATTGACTTGGGTGAGATTGAGTTTCAATTTCCCGAGGCAGTTTCTCTCGATGTGGATTTTTCAGGGCAGGTCAAAACTTAGGTAATCCTAGCAGGAAGGGCAACACTAATAGGTATAGTTGTTGAGAGAGATTGGGTTAAGGAAAGTTGCAAGGGATTTAATCCAAGTAGATTTATACTCAGGTCACATCGCGAATAAATCTTAACATTTCGCTTACAATAATACGAAGGGGAGTTGTCCATATTAAAAGCGTTGTACTATATACTCTTTTGTGAAGAGAGAAAGAGAAGGAACCCCCTATCACAAGACGACATAGTCTAGAGAGAGAGAGAGAGAGAGAGAGAGAGAGAGGGAACATGGAATCGTAACTTTAAATTGGCTATCGAACGCTACATACCTACTTCCTCGTGGTCTACGTATAGAGAGTATCGAGGAAAATGACCCCCGAGTGCTATCCTTTCTCCAGGAGTTATTACTCCTTCGGAGACTACGGGAATTTCGCAAACTTCGCCTGCATTGTTGTAACGAGCTATAATATCTGTTCGAACTTTACCCCGCTCAACTATCGAATGTTAAGTTTTCGATCTTAGATCTAGTTTAGACCTATTCCATATCAATTCAAAATGTTCTTCGAGTATTGGTGCTCATTAATTTAAAGTACCAATTTTCCTTCCCAACTTATAATATGTTACACATCAATTTACATAGAGCACCCAAACTTTTTTTCATCAAATTAATATCTAATATTTAGCTAAGTCTCCAAAATTATCAATCACATACTCTCTAATTAGTAAACTAGGGTATGTAATAATTTGTTTGAATAAGTAATATATAGGAACTGATATTTGCAAACACTAATTGGCCGAACTTGAGTAATTTCTCTAAAAAACTTTGTCCCCTAATACTTCCATAATTTATACTAATATCTACAGCTTCCTATTAACTTTCCTCTAAACTATCTATTTACATAAGTACCAAACTGTTTAAACGACAACATGATAGGAATTTATTATTAAAATTAATTTGATTGTTGAAAATTTTTGAAAAATCCGTCATAAGTAGAAATTTTTTTTTAAAGTACCCTTTAATTTGTAATACAATATTCTAATTTTGTATCTACATCCCAACACTTCCTGTTTTCAAACCCTCTCAATTAGAGTTTAAGTTTAAACGCTTTGAAATTGCAAGTGTCAAATTTCGATAGCCTTCAAATTACATCTGTCTAAGTTTGATTGCTTTTCAACTTCAAACTATCGAATGTATCAAGCTTTTATCTGAATGTATTTAATTCACATATATTTATGAAAATCACCTTAGTTATAATTGCAACATTAAATCTTTTAAAATATAAACATTTTCAAAATATTCTATTATCAATTCAAGTTTGTTTATTAGATTTTCTCGATATATAGGGATATAAAATTTTTATTGATATATGCACCTTTAAAAAGTTTATATAGGAAAAGTATAATGAAGAGAAGAGAGAAAACTCAAAAATGAAGTTCTAAAGAGTGCAAAGAGCAAAGACCTTTAGAAATCTTCGATGATTTAAAAAAAAAAACTTAGAAGATTAGATGAACTTTATAAG